ATGGCTTCAGGTGAGATAAATACAAGCAATTATCTAATGATCTTTTCAAGTAGCTTCCTCCGTCCTCGAGTGGGAGGCGCTTGATCAATGTGCCCTTTGTACCTTTAAAACTACATAATAAAGAAGTGCAGAGCAGCATCTCACTGAGTTCTGTATTGATCTGCAGAGAAGTGCGCAGCTAGCAGTGTGGGATGAAATGACTCTGAAGTAGCATCAGTAGTGGGAAAGATGTGCATACTTGTGCTCAAGTAGCTTGTGCCAAAGTTCTCTTCAGGAGATGTGCATATTTCTATTCTACTTATAAAGTAAAGAGGGTTCTAAAGTTGTCTGAATGTTTTTAGATCAAAGTATACAGAGAATAACATGCCACAAGCTGTCTATATGTTTTTATTTTTGTTTTCTCTCTTTCATTTTGGTAATTAAATTAGTATCGTAACAAGCATTAGAATAATTTTAGTAACAGCAAAAGTAACCAAAATGGTTGGACAATAATGTGCTTTTAAGATACGTGTATTGGCCTCTGAAGCAGCAGCCAGTACAGTACAGACCTCTGTGCTCCCTGCTCAGATAAATGTGCAGGAGAACAAAGCGACCGTCTGAGCTCTAATAAGAAGCTCCTGTTTGAATGATGCACTGTATGTAATGGCCGTGATAGTGACTGAGGAGCAGATGGATGTGTTACGGTTATGTCAGCAGCTCAGACAGAGGACACGTGAACGAGGCATGAGTCATGGCTGAACACAGACATTGAAAGAGACGCCTCTGTTTTCTCTCAGATTTTAGGGATTCTAGGTTTTTTGGGGGGTTTGAAAAAGGAGATGGTTTTACAAATTAACTCTCTCATTATCATATTATGTCTGCTATTTATTTATAGAAAGGTAGGACTTCACATTGGTTTTATATAGAACCTTTTTGGACTCTCAAAGACGCTTCACGTGTCATTATTCATTCACTCCAAACACAATGGTGATAAACTAGCCACAGCTGCCCTGGAGCACGCAGACAGCAGTATATGCAATCAGTATATGCCATGGGCTCCTCTGACCACCACCAATCACTCACACAGCAGACTCTAGACAATGTGGGTGAAGTGTCTTGGACACAAAAGAAGTTTGGCACTTTACAGCCGCAGCCGCCCCACTGTGGCACCTGGTGTTCCCAGAGGTCTCCCATCACCAGATTTAGTCAGATAAAACTCTTGTCACCAATGTTTAGTTCATTTTACGAATAGCCATTTTTCTAAAGTTCTTTTTTGCAAAGTATCCGTCACATGAGGTCAGTTTGAATCCCACTTTGAGACCTTTCTTTGTCGACCTCAATCTTTGGAGCAGGTCTTAGTTCTACCAACAATTAGTATTAATCATCGTTATCTAAGAACACTTGACATATTCACACTGTGTTGTTTTGGTGCTGTAACCACCGGCCTATTTTGGGGAAACAGTTTAGTGAAACAGTAGTTTGAACAAAATATCACATAGTATATCACCGTATCATCCAATATCCACATTTTCCCTGTGGTTTACTCGTGAATATAGTTCAAATGCCGCTGTGCCCATTGCAGCAGCTAAATACTTTCTTAGTCATAACTCCAGCTGCCTTTCTGGAGAAGCAGCGCTTCATCCTTTGTACAGGCGAAATTCAACATTTACTTTGAAAAGGTAAAAATAAATAATGAAATTGAAGTCGATGACGCAGACATGCCTTCCAAGAATCTTTTTTTTTTGAAGAGAGTTCAATAAGGCTTTCAAAGGGCTGAGGTAAGATTTGAAGACCCAACTAAAAGCACAGATTGTGATAGTGTTTTGATGAAAAATAAATTCACTAAAATGTATCAAACAGATCCCACTATTTAAGCACCTTTCCACACCTAAAATTTCAATTTAGTGACACAGGAATGCAAGGTCAAAGGGCTTTGTGTATAGAAAAGCCGGCATGTATGTCAGTGGGCAGACATATTGAAGCCCCTTTTGAAGAAAAAAAAAGAAATGTTAGCAATGCGGCAAACAGGAGTTGGACATCTGCAATGGTAAGCATTTTACCAAGTGGTTGCTTGGGCAGGAATTCTCAATGATAAATGTGTTTATACCATAGAGTCTGTATATATTAACGGACAGAGACACGCCTATCTCCGCCGTTCATAAGAGTTCGCCATGAAAAGTGCTTTCATGGAGCAATCCAAGATGGCCGCAAGTGGTCCCGCCCACAAGAAAATTGTGAAAAAATGCATCTGCGCATGCGTCAGCCGGCGCAGCTCCATTCATTTGAACGAGAGACTTAAAAAATTCACCGCGAGTAAACTAGAGTGGACCAAAAAAATTCACCCCCCTCAGCATTGACACACATGTGGAACGGAGCTTTGGGCCAAGAGCCAACTTTTGGTCCATCCTGTAAAGACGTTTTTGAGAGGTCTGCCAAAGTTATATGTTAGCATTGGCTAATTCTTCTTCTGGGTCCACCCCCATCGGCCCGGGGTGGTATTGCAGCATGTCAGCGCACGTCATTTTGGCCACTTTTGAGCTGGGACCCGCCCCCACTGGTTTATACATATGCTATCTATCTATTTAATCCAATGCAGAAATGTATAGCAGAATTGTCATCCAATAGTTGTCTTTTGTTTTCTCTCCACTGTGAGACGAATGTAGCTTCAGTGTATAGACCGGTCGGGGTGCAGAATTATACATAATAATTATACACGGTCAACAAGCTTATATGGCCACCAGCCTGATAATGTAGAACATTTCTTTGAAATCAAACTTCCAATTGCGTGATTTCAAAAAACACTTGAATTTTCATGTCAGCTGATCTTTTTTTTTTCATCTAAACTCTTGTTTTACTGTGAATGACACAAGGGAATCTGATTGTGTTTCCACCACCTGCAGCTGTGGCAGACTGCTCCATGTTCTCACTCTGTCACTTTGAAACTTGTTAGATTGCTGGTGCTCTGGCAGAAGGTGTGATAGTGGAAGAGGGCGCGAAAGGGGGTCAGAATCCTGGGAATTCTCGGGAGAACACAAGTTTTCACCATGAAAACTGTCAGCCGTTTGACATCAGCATTGGATTTCTTGCTCGAGCATATTACTGCACACATTTGTACAAGTGGAGACTCATTAATAGGCAAATTGTGCTTTGGTCTGTCACATAACCCAGTGTTCCCCAACCTTTTAGAGCCGTGGTACACCTGTTTGCAGCCTTTATGAACAATGCAAAGTCATTCTCAGCAACATGTATTTTACAGACAATCAAACAAGCAAAAACAATCATTCTAATCTTCTCACATTCTTATTAGTTCACATTATTTTGACTAATTAGATCAGGGGTGCTCAATACGTCGATCGCGATCTACCAGTCGATCGCAAAGGTAGTATTGGTAGATCGCATTAAATAAATAAAAAATTACACATTCTAAACAAATATATACAAAAAACTCCGGGCAAAGTGGAGATTTTTGAAAACTCCGTTAATGCATTTGTGTGTAGACAGAGATAACCAGAGTTTTGCGTTCTCGCACGCCACAGTACCCCCTAAATTCCTCTGATCACTGAAGCATGGATCATACTACCTTAAAAACTGTTCGCTGTGAGATGCTCGCAGCAGCGAACATCCTCGCTCCACATCAGAGAGCAGCAAAGTGATCGCGGGGACTCACGCTCGAAAACAACCAAACCAGGACTAAACCAGGACTAAACCAGGGCTGAGGACGGGGTCAGTGCTTGTAAACATACGTCTTACTCTTTACTCTGAGTGTCTTCTATGACTGTAAAAGTGTCGTTACCGGCGTCTGCATCAAAGCTCCGCCCACTTCTGTGTTTTTCCCCAACGCAGGACAGGACGTAAGAGACGCACATGTTTGGAATGTTACGAATGTGATTGATAACGCAGATGTGTGGATGCATATTATTTTATAAACGGAGGAGGGGAAATATTTGGATTTAAAAAAAACAGGCATCGCACATGGACATGGCACCACAGTCAAATGACATCTGTGTTTTACTCAGTAATGTTTTACTGACACTTAGGTGACTGCACATGCGCAAACAACCGCGCTCAGTGCAGGAAAGCTAAACCACGACAAACTTGTCAGCGAGTTACCACCAATTTTCCGGACTATGCATCCCTGGCCGATTCAATTCAGTGCAAGTCATCAGAGTAAACTCGGGTAATGACAAAAAATTTACATAGGTAATTGTGTTGTGTTGTGCTATATTGGCTCATGCGGTTTTGCATGTACATAAACATACATTGTAGAATATTTTTTGAAATATATGATTTGCATTTTTGTAGTAGGTAGATCATTTTGACTTGATCCTTTTATAAGTAGCTCGCATGCTGAAAAAGTGTGAGCACCCCTGAATTAGATGATAATGGATCATTTCCAAAGGCACACTGACAGGCCATGGCACACTGGTTGTAAAACACCGGCATAACCTGATGCTTGTGAACAATCATACAGTATAATATCTTAATTTAAATATGAATATTTGCAAAACTGCGGACTTTCTTACTGAAAATATCTGTACCAACATGCCCTGAAGAAGGCCCTATGTGGCTGAAACTCGTAGGTAGTCCCTGTTCTGTTCATTATTTGTATTTATCTGGATTTCCGCTTTTCTCACATGTTGCTGTACCAAGTGTTGATATAGTAGATTTTTCTTATGTCTTGAGTTCTTGCTTGTCACTTATTTGGATGAGCTGGGCAGGTTGCGAAAATCAACCCCTAACCATCACTTTGTCAATCATCTAAAATTTTACAAAAAACCCACATGATTCACTCTGAAGACTTACATTGAGCAGCTAAATGCAACGATCGCCTTTGAATCGGCCTGTGTTCATAATATCTCCCAGTAAATTATTGATGCCGTGTCAGGACTTTTGCTTTTGCAGTGCGGCTTTAGGCATTGATGTATAAGGCCGATCAAAGCGGACGCGAATGTGCCTCATTTTCACCTGGGGCGTTGCCAACATATCTTACACGCTCACGGCATGTTTCCCTCTGTGATCAGATATCGGACGTTCGTCTCTGAAGATGCCGGGCCCAATACTCTGGTGGCTACAGTGCTGGCGAAGGACCCCGATGGAGATGGGATAACCTACAAGATCACAAGTGGGAATGAGGAGGGCAACTTTGTCATTGACAACCAAAAGGGTAAGTCATGTTTTCTTTGTTTTGTGAATGACATTATAGTAAAAAGATAATAAACGAGGAATAATAATAAATTAAAAAAACATGACAGTTTGGCACCATAGGACTTTGACTTTTGCCCTACCCCATTTTGAAAAAGTGATCAGTGCTTTAAGTGGCCCAAAAAAGGTGCAGGCACTTTTATTTTTTTTGCCAAGGGGAATCTATATTTAACTATATTTGTTCTTATTTAACTGTTTCACACACCTCACGCGCAGACGGCAAAAGTGCGGCGTTCCCTTGTAAAACTTATGGGTAATGTAGTCTCTGCTCTCGGTGAGACAAAGTAGGAAGTACTTACAGTCCATGACTGTAAGTACAGGTCATGGACTGTAAGTACCGGTCGTAGACTGTAAGTACCGGTCGTAGACTGTAAGTACAGGTCATAGACTGTAAGTACCGGTCGTAGACTGTAAGTACCGGTCGTAGACAGTAAGTACCGGTCATGGACTGTAAGTACCGGTCATAGACTGTAAGTACCGGTCGTAGACAGTAAGTACCGGTCATGGACTGTAAGTACCGGTCATAGACTGTAAGTACCGGTCGTAGACTGTAAGTACCAGTCATTGACTGTAAGTACCGGTCATGGACTGTAAGTACCGGTCATAGACTGTAAGTACCGGTCATGGACTGTAAGTACCGGTCATAGACTGTAAGTACCGGTCGTACCGGAGACAGTAAGTACCGGTCATGGACTGTAAGTACCGGTCATGGACTGTAAGTACCGGTCATGGACTGTAAGTACCGGTCATGGACTGTAAGTACCGGTCATGGACTGTAAGTACCGGTCATAGACTGTAAGTACCGGTCATGGACTGTAAGTACAGGTCATAGACTGTAAGTACCGGTCATAGACTGTAAGTACCGGTCGTAGACTGTAATACCGGTCGTAGACAGTAAGTATAGGTCGTAGACTGTAAGTACCGGTCATAGACTGTAAGTACCGGTCATAGACTGTGAGTACCGGTCCTAGACTGTAATACCGGTCGTAGACAGTAAGTATAGGTCGTAGACTGTAAGTACCGGTCATGGACTGTAAGTACCGGTCGTAGACTGTAAGTACCGGTCGTAGACAGTAAGTACCGGTCATAGACTGTAAGTACAGGTTGTAGACTGTAAGTACCGGTCGTAGACTGTAAGTACTGGTCGTAGACTGTAAGTACCGTTCGTAGACTGTAAGTACCGGTCGTAGACTGTAAGTACCGGTCGTAGACTGTAAGTACCGGTCGTAGACTGTAAGTACCGGTCGTAGACTGTAAGTACCGGTCGTAGACTGTAAGTACCGGTCGTAGACTGTAAGTACCAGTACGGCAGAAGCACTACAGTACTGGCACTGAAAGTGATTTCTCAATTCTTCAGAAGTGACGAGAGGAAGGGAAGAAATTGTGCTTGTGATCTTAACAAACCTTGAGCAATCCTTACCCACACATAAGGTATATTTATATAATTATATACCACATAACTTTTGGCACATAGTACATTACAATACATGTTTTAAAGGTGTAGGGGTTCAGAAAAGGATAGAGAAGGGGCTTTCTGTTGAAACGTAATGACCTGAATATAGGCCTACTCAAAAATGTTTCAAACTCGACAGTCACAACACATCTAACAGACATCAAATAGATTTTGTACATTGGTTTTATATGAAGGGGTAAACTACAATGCATCTTTGTCTCTCTTTAAGGGTAAATCCATCTAGTCTATGTACTCCAACATTCGTCTCGGTGTGTTCTAATGGTTCCAGTCGGATACTGTTGTTGTTTTAATAAAATGGATTGAGCAGCAATAGAACAAGTAGAAATATAAAACTATAAACATGTTAAAGGAAATGTAAGCCTTCAAGCTCAGTAGTGTCTCTTATTTCTGTGAAACTTGGAGATTTCACTATCGACTCCAAGATTCTGCTTTTGAACTTTTGTCTTCTTAAAGACTCCAAGCAGGAAAGTTGAGGCAGGTGGGAAAACCTGGATCTGGGACAAGGGTCTGAGTGGCAGCTCCACATAACAGCCTCAATAAAAATGTTTGTGGGGTTTAAAAACAATTAACTTTCTCGGTTCAATGAACCTTTAGTACCTCAGCTTAGTCATGGATCAATATCTGGAATCAGCTTTAGTCTTCATGGGGTTCAATTCAATGTCTTTGCCGCTTGCAGTAGAAAACCACATCAGAATAGAGGAAATAAGACTGATACTTTGTTATTTGCTGTCATTTTATTTGAATTCATAATAAAAGCTGTAAATCCTTCCTGGTCATACCATGGAGAAACATCATTTTCATGTCTAACCAAACTCCCCAGATGGGCTGTGGTGTCGCAGTAACAGCGACGATAAATCAGTACTGGTTGCTATCTTTTGAAATGCAATACCCAGTTAATGATTTGGATATTTCTGTGCCAAGAGAGAAGGACCAGTTGATGGGGGATTGGTGCCAATTTCATAGCCATTTTCTCTCCTTTACAAATGGGAGACCCTCTCTCTGAATCTACATATCGCATTATCGGGTTATACGAGGACTTTTACGAATTCAATGACTGTGAACTTCAAGGCACAATTTCCTCTGTCCACTGGCTATGACATTCTCAGTCAGCTGATGAGGCAAGTCTTTTAAGTCTTTTAATCGAGCTAAGAAAAAATTGAAACAGTTGTTAATCACTCTATCAAAAATCTGATGGCAGCCATGCACTTGCCTTGTTGTGCGTTGTGAAATTCCAAAGGGAGGCCAAAAGGTTACAGTTGATTAATTTCAAGGATATTCATCTACATTGTCTTGGATCTCTTACTGCCAGCATTGTTAGACCTTGCTGATAACGTGGATGATGCTTTCCTTGGAGCTGCCCTGTGAACGGTCCTGGCGTGCTCCCTGTGCTGCCGCAGACTCTGAGTGGAGCTGAAGCTGACAGTTGTGGAGACTCGTTATAAGACTGGTGTGTGTCTATGGTTCGGTTTCAGCTGTTTGAGGAAAGAGCAAAGATCATAGGCTCCCTGGCAGAACACTCCCATTCTTTTCTGCTGTCTAATTGTATCCTTACACCTTTTATCCATTGTTAGTTTGAGATTTAATCGAAAAGCATCATTAAAATCATAAGATAAGATAGACTTTATTGATCTCACACTGGAGAAATTTATGTTGGCTGAGATAATGAAATATGTAATGTGCCTCCACCTATGGCACGGTGGCTGAGTGGTTAGCACTCTCGGCTCTCAGCAAGAATGTCCTGGGTTTGAATCCTGGTCGGAACGGGGTCTTTCTGAGTGGAGTTTGCATGTTCTCCCTGTGCTTGCGTAGGTTTTCTCCGGGTACTCCTGTTTCCCCGACCACTAAAAACATGCACACTAGGTTAAATCCTCCAGCTCCGGTAGTCCTGACCAAGCCGAGCATCAGCATCTGGAGATGGGTTTCCAGGTGCTGTTACTATGGCGACCACTGCTCCTGACATAAGCCTTAGCGGCATCAGGATGGGTCAAATGCAGAGGATGAATTGCCTTACGAGGATCAATACATTGCACCTTTACCTTTACCTAAATGTAGTGTTTACAGTATGCAGTGGAAGTTCACGCTGTGCCAAAATTCATACATTTTGTTTCTCTAACTGACTAAAACTTCTGACTGTGTAGATAGTAATTCAAATAATTCTGAATAATTGTCTTATATTATATATTTCTTATATTGTAGCATTGGGACGAATTTTGGTAAACAAAACCAAAGCTCAAAACCAAACCAAGGACACAACAATCCTTTGACTTCAAGTTTACGTTTGAGAACTTCGCAGCTCTTCAGTTTGTCACTACCATTAGACAATATCTTGATTATGTGATCTACTCCCCAGCAGCCTGAATTGTGCTCATTTTGCTTAATACAGATGCACAGAGGCTTTTTGCCATTTGTCCACAGACACAGTATCACGGCACAACTCGTGTAATACGATCCAATATCTTGTTTGAAAGAGGCCAATATTTGGTCATTAAACCTGTTTTATGAATCCTATAATGGAAGGCGAGGACAATGGATCGTGCCTGCCTACCCTATCTCCCCGCTGTTGATGAAAGCCTTTATTGCCTGTGCTCTGTTCTGGTATCTATGCGCCTCTAGACGACTCATCCTCAATGTCTGACAATCATTCAAGCAATTGTTTTCCTCTCCTCGCCGCCAGTCCATCCCTTCTGGCCTCCCTCCTGGTGTTAATTTGACTGTAACTCACCGTTGAATACTATACGTTTCCATAAGATTTAAAGGAACCATTAGTGGCTGAGCAGGCTGGTCAATATGATGATTGCGCTCTTCCTATTAAAAGCCATAAATACAGAGCAGGGGAGCTGTAGGAAGGAAGAGCAGTTTTCTGACAACTGTAGGGACAAGCAGACACCAATAAACATAGTCTCCTCTTGTATTGCTTTTTGGAGAAAGGTTCAGACAGGACAGCACTCTTTAAATCTCTTCCATGTATAGCTGAATGTAAACAACCATCTTAAGTGGTATGTGTATGTATGTAATATATAAGTTATTGTTGAGATTTTTTTAGTGGATCGTTTATTCTGTTTTTTAATAATATAGTATTAAAATCCACTGAAAAAATGCTACTAAAACACAAATGTAAAATCACATTCCCAGCAGTATTTGGAATGATCTAAGTAACTGCATTGACAAAACGCTTTAACTCGCTTGCCCCTAACCAACCTCTGAACATAATGTATAATTTAATTCTCCAGTATGCCCCGTGCCAGCCTCCCATCTTCTCCGCATGGCCTGATGTGCCGACCTACGCTTGATCCAAGGATTGCGTAACAGTCTATTGTGTTGGCCCAATTCTTACAGAGACCCTTTGGCGACTCCACTATGACTCATCATGTCGTTTTTAATGTTGTCTCTTTTTGACATTGTATCATGTTTGGACTTAGTTTTCCATATATTTCTCCAGCCGCTTTGTTTATGTATCTGTCGGCCTAGTTCCAGCCAATCTGCAATTCTGCTCTCTTTCTGCCCGAACCAATGCCAAGATGCCAATCCTGTCTTCTTCTTACGTCGACAAAACTGAACTGCGAAAAGTATATATATATATATATATATATATATATATATATATATATATATATATATATATATATATGTATATAATATATATATATAATATTATATTATATATTAAATATATATATATATACATACATTATAAATATATATATATATATATATACATATATTATACATATATATATATATATATATATATATATATATATATATAATAATATATATATATATATATATTGTCCAATATCACCTTTGGTCCCCTCCCTTGGCCTCCGCGGCGGTTATCCCTCTCTAAGCTCGGGTCCTCTACCAGAGGCCTGGGAGCTTGAGGGTTCTGCGCAGTATCTTTGCTGTTCCTAGCACTGCACATTTCTGGACCGAGATGTCCGAGGTTGTTCCAGGGATCCGCTGTAACCACTCATCTAGCTTCGGGGTCACTGCCCCGAGTGCACCGATCACCAGGGGCACTACTGTCACCTTTACCCTCCAGGCCCTCTCCAGCTCCTCTCTGAGACCTTGGTATTTCTCAAGCTTTTCATGTTCTTTTTTCCGGATGTTACCATCGCTTGGAATTGCCACGTCCACCACCACGGCTGTCCTCTGCCCTTTGTCTACCACCACTATGTCAGGTTGGTTCGCCATTACCATTCGGTCGGTCTGTATCTGGAAGTCCCACAGGATCTTCGCACGCTCATTCTCCACCACCTTTGGAGGAGTTTCCCACTTAGACCTCGGGGTTTCCAGCCCATACTCTGCACAGATGTTTCTGTACACTATGCCAGCCACTTGGTTATGGCGTTCCATGTAGGCCTTCCCTGCCAGCATCTTGCACCCTGCAGTTATGTGTTGGATCGTCTCAGGTGCCTCTTTGCACAACCGACACCTTGGGTCTTGTCTGGTGTGGTATATCTGGGCCTCTATCGCTCTGGTGCTCAGGGCCTGCTCCTGTGCAGCCATGATGAGTGCCTCTGTGCTGTCCTGTAGGCCAGCCCTTTCTAGCCATTGGTAGGACTTCTTGAGATCAGCCACTTCTGTTATGCTCCGGTGGTACATGCCGTGTAAGGGCTTGTTCTCCCATGATGGGCTCTCCTCCAGCACCTCCTCATCTCGCCACTGTCTGAGACATTCACTGAGTACGTCATCCGTTTTGGCCTTCTCCATGATGTAGTTATGGAGTTTGGATGTTTCGTCCTGGACAGTGGCTCTCACACTCACTAGTCCTCGGCCTCCTTCTTTACGGCTTACGTACAGTCTCAGGGTGCTGGATTTGGGATGGAACCCACCATGCATGGTAAGGAGCTTTTGAGTTTTAACATCCGTGGTCTGGATCTCTTCCTTTGGCCACCTGATTATTCCTGCAGGGTATCTGATCACTGGCAGGGCGTAGCTGTTAATTGCCCGGGCTTTGTTCTTGCCATTGAGCCGGCTTCTTAGGACCTGCCTTACTCGCTGGAGGTATTTGGCAGTTGCCGCTTTCCTCGTCACCTGTTCGAGGTTGCCATTTGCCTGTGGTATACCGAGATACTTGTAAAAAAAAAAATATATATATATATATATATATACAGTATCCTGGTATTGAAAGCCAAAAAGAAAAGCAGAGAAAACATGCAGGTGAAACTCTGGAGTATCTTGAATTCTGCACCTTCCGTCATCAACTCAAAATTAATTTGATCATAGATTGTAGATTTTATTGAAAGGAGCCAGACACATATTAAACACTGGCAGCCATCAAAGGCATATTATAAGTGGAGGACCTACCAGGGGTAATGTGCACACATTATTATTTCATACATTATGCTCAATGTGTGTCCAAGCCCTTCAACCTCTGACCAGTTCTGTGGAGACACACAATCTTCTACATTAGAGTGGACACTTACAGTGTGTTTTGTACAGTGTGTTTTGTCCTTAAAATGCCCAGAAAACCTTTTCAGAGTACCATTTTACCACTTTCACACCATATGGCTCACTCATCCAAAGCTTTTAGGCTCTATTAGATGTTTATACCAGCCGACGGTAGAATAGAGGCAGCAGTATGACCGCGCACTGCCCCTTGGAAAGTGGTCTCATAGCGAAGAGTCTATGGTGTGTGCCCACCCACTTCTGGTCACATTTATCTGGCCTTCTGTCTCAATTCATTAAAGCTGAGTACAGTCCCCAGTCACAGCTGAACAGGCAGGAAGGGGGATAAAAACCATAGTATGGCCTTTGCTACTTACCTTATATGCAGTTTTAATGCATTTGTACGTCTTTAGACTTAGTGCAGTGAAGGGACTGAGTGGGACAGGACACAGTGCAGCACCAGGGGCCCAGCTCCACATGTAGAGAACCTATAGTACATCAGTTTAGTGGTAGGGGACCAGTGGAAAAATTATACACAGGGAGAACAGGCAAACTCCACTCAGAAAGTCCCTGTTCCGACAGAGTTTCGAGCCCAGGACCTTCTTGCCACCACCGTGCTGAGCATGTTATCGGCAGAGCATCTGGCATAAAAGTGTATTTGCTGGATATGGGAAATAAAACAATAAGAACATGTAAGATATGGCATGTGAATTTCTGTATTTTTTTGGTAAAAAAAAGTAGTAAGTAAGTAAGAAGTACGAGTTGCTAACACATTTTTGTTTCACAAGCTCCTTGTCTTCTTCATTTTAATGAACATGTTATTATTATTATTTTTTAACCGCTCGTCTGTGTCTGGTTCACTCCTCTGCATTGTTAAAATCGTTCTCTGTTGACTTCAGACAGTCACTCTGGATACTGTATGTTCAATTCCCCCTGCGTTTGAACACAATCTTGTACTAGTGAACGCAATGGGTCATTTACAAAACCTGAGACCAACGTGATCCACTTGCACATTCATAGAAATATCTGCTATTGATAAAACATAAACATATGCTTTGGTCCTCTCGTTATATTCAACACATAATAATCATTACATTTGCTGCAGTTTGTATGTCAACATTTATCTATTGCAATATATTTTCCAATCTTACCATAAAGATGCCGACCTGAGGCCTATTTCATAAAACGACCAGTAAACCTGGACTTAACAATGGGTCACTTAACAATGTCTTCTGAGTCAAGGAGGATAATAAATATGTGTATGCTCATAACTTCATGAGAGCACAGGCTGGCACTCATTTGAGAAACCTTGCTCAATAACAAACAAAACTGGCAGAGCCTTCTGTTGTGTTTAATTCACATCTTTCCCTTTTTTATCATTCTAAACAGGTTTCGTTTTTATGCCATCTGCAATTGTTCTCATTTCTATTCCTGATTGTCTGTTTTATCACAATCTTGTGTTGGACTATTCAGTGATTCGGCCTCTATTAGCCTCCAGACCCACATTATACAATAGTCCATTTGGGTTTAGATAATGAAACATTGCATGAACAGCCAGGACACAGCCATCTTAGGAAATCTGCAAATTGCCTTTGCAAGTAAACGCAGGTGTCTACAAGAGCAGGTGCAAAGAGTATTTTACCCAAATATGTAACATGCAATGTTTCTGGAATGTTTCACAACAAATTAATTCACTTATCTATCATCAAGAGCAAGCAGGGCTCTACTTTTTATGGTTCGACAACATGATAGGCACAAACACAAAGAATATAGGGCTTCTCAATAAACTGTGCACAGACCCTAAATTCTCCTACGGGGATCACTAATCTGTCTGTCTGTCTGTCTGTCTATCGATCTACAGAATAGTTAAATCTCTTCTCTTGCATTTAACAACATCATGGATCACCTCGGAAATTTGAATGGGGCGTTCCTACCATCCAGCAACGCAGCAACTATTTCACTTCAATCCTTCTTTATATCGTGTTCGCTCTATCCTACCTGCACAAAAATACACACACACACATATAAGAAAAACCTATGAGACATGCACTATTCTTACTGTGTTTTAAATATTTTGTCAAGTTGGTTTGACACAAGAAAAGCGCAAAAGCTTTGAAAAGTAAAGCTTTGTTTAGATAATTAGCTTGAGATGAAACAAAGCTGGATCCGGAGCTGGTTGACTGCATACAAAACAATACGTATCAATGTGGAATGATGGAACAGAGCTTTGCCAAGGCTCAACTTAATTATCCCCTGTTCATGCTTCTGCTTCGTTCCTCTCAGTTTACTTTGAGCAGAGAATGCCAGCTGCCAATCAACGGCGCACTAAAGGAATTTCCCATGCCAGACTCAATCATGCAACCATACTGATTTACCAATCTCTGGCCCCCTGTTTATGCAACGCTGTGACAATATACATTACGCATCTTTCCTCCAGGCGAAGCTGCCCTCCTCTTTGCACCTCTACAGATGCAAATTGGACGTACATATTTCGCTCTTCTGTTGCTCTCAAGTTTATTTTTATCACTCTGCTCACTTGCACGCACACAACAAACTCAAGACACCTACGACTAGCCATAACCGTTGGACAGCAGCGCCGATGGAAGCAGCCATTGTGACAAACACCTCGGAGCAGACGCCCACTTCATGGCAAGCCTCCATCTCTTGTGTAACACTGAGAAGCAAGCAGAAGGGACATAGCCTGCATATGCCTCTCTGAAGTACACCAGTAAATTACATGGGAAATAGAGTGGCTTCAGGCTGAGAGTGTGCCAATTGTTATGTGCAGTGCAGAACATAGAACAGAACAATATGGTAAACACAGGCAAATAAGTTGTTCTAGTTCAGGGGTCGGCAAGATTTGTCATGAAAAGAGTCATT